CACCATTGAGTTGACAGTAATATTTACTCCATTTATGAATAAAATCAGTATGTTGTAGGTTTGAGAGTAATTTGGAACTTTCCAAAAAGCACAAGAAATACTATAGTATGGAGACTTTAATTTTCACACTAAGACTATGTCCACACGAGTGTGGACATTTGTTTCCCCGGGGACAACTAGAAGTGGGACACCTTGTGCTGCTTACTTGTCCCCAGGGAATGCCTGTGCCATATGCCCTCTGACACATGGCAGGTTACCCCGGGTGGGGTAGGAGAGGTTTGGGGCCAGCACTGGGCTGGCCCTAGCAGCCTTACCTGGGTTCCTGGGGACCTCCAGGGGCAGCAGCAGCTGCGATCCCGCCGCTTGAAGCCTAGCCAGCAGCTAGAGTGTGGTTCTGGCCAGCCAGGCTTTGGTTTTGTTAGGCGCATGCTGTCCCTGTGTGCACCGCACTCCTTTTTTTTTTGCGTGAGTTTTTTTGACCCTGGATCTCCTGGGGTCAAACCCCGGCCCTCTCCCCATGCTGCTACCTTGCATCACAGAGAACACCAGCATGTGCAGTATGTGGTGCCGTGAATGTGTCTGCAGCACCACATACCACGTGGCTGTTCTCATCAGGCCGTGGCCTAAGTGTCCAAATTTGGACACAGCCTACATTGCTGTCACAGCAGTGACAATATAGGCTTGGTACTTGTCCAATATCCTTTTGAATAGGTGCAAACATTTCTTAAGTACATCAATAACTTATAATACAAAGCAAAATCTTGCCATTAAGTAGCACTGACCTTGCCCTCAGTTACAGGAAAAGTATGTTGTGGTTCAGGTGTTCTTACTATAAATGGAAAGTACTCTTAGCCTCCTTGTTTAGTGTCTCAATGCTACGCTAAGGGGAAAAACCCCATTAATGTAACATTAAGTATTAAAATTCGAACCTTAGCACTGGGTCTAGGAGTTTGCATTCTTATAAGTTTTAATTCTGCAATCATCAGCTTTCAGCTAATTCACTTGTCCCAACTGCCTCAGAAGGAAATTGCTGGTGTTATTTCCAGTTTGCAGTTATTGAGCTCTCTCTTTCAGTTATAGCAGTCAGTACCCCACATATAACAGGTACTAAGATAGATTTGGTTTTGTTAACTAGTTGTTCATGTAGATGGCTCAGTGCAGAGAGTAGTAGAAATTAAAGAGTTACCTTAGATCTGGTTTCCAGACCTAGCTCTACCATCTGCCTGCTATACAAGTAATCTTAATCTTCCATCCTCAAGTTACTGCATATTCAAGTATATGTCTTGGAGGTTCATAGTATTTGTCTTTAAGGGAAGATGGAAGTGAAGTCTCATTATGTACAGTTAGTTAATTAAGATACCCCTACCATCCTGCAAACTCACTTTCCACTGGAAGAGGTGGGAATGAAAATATCCCAGGCTTTTGCCCACTTTTCAAGTAACGACATTCTTGTTAATCAGACAGGACTAGGAGTCCTAGCTTTAAGTAATGAACTTTATTTGGTCACTGTTAATGAGTAGGCCATAGTGTGTTCCATCTAGATGGATAAAACACTGAAATAATTTAAATAGTGGTTGTTCTGGTGATATAACAAGACTAAAAAGGCACGTGTACACCTATGTCTACTCTGACACATGCTAATTAATTAACATGCTCTAGCAGCCTCCACATCATGTCTATTCAGTGTCCCCATGCTTCAAAATGGTTTGGGGGTGGGGGGGTGCATCTGAACTAAAAGTCAAACAAGCTTTGGTTTATGTGCCCCATTTTGAAGCACAGAACACCACTGAATACACATGATGCTGCAGGTACTTTAATTAGAGTAGGTCTCAAAGCCGCTATAATTAAAGCACCCTCCCCAACCCCAGAACACCTGTATAGATGCCCAAAGAGACTTAACATAAGCTTCCCCTGTTCAAGGGTTACAAGGGGTTGCATCTTCTAATACCGCAATATGTGTAGGGAGAGCAGTGCCACGGAACTGCCAATCTTACTGCTGGATTTTCAAAGCAGCTAGCAAGAATTCACAGATTTTTCCAGGTCTGGAGATCACTGAAGTGTGAGCAAGAGGCCGGAGAAAAAAGGAGGACAGGATATTTATGTTTTTTTGCTGCAGGAGGAAGCTATACTCAGGTCTTGTCTTTTATCTTACTTGCTTAGTACCTAACTTGGAAAAAAACCCAAGATAAACTTAATATAAAAAGGAAAACATTCTTCAGCTTGTGAAAATAAGAGTTTGGGGTTAGCACCAGCCATGAGGTACATTATAAATACTGTTTTGTGCAAATTTTCAGTGACAGTAGCTCTAAATGGAAGAGTGGTGCTTTCAGAGAAGTTCTGATTACAGAACTGCACTATTTTCTTAAATGGTTATATAAGAAAGTATATATAAACTGAGACACAAAGACAGAACATACAAAGGCTGTCTAACAGCCCCAAAGCCAACAGAAGAGAGGCTGGCAATGCAGAGCTACTTCATAAAGCATGATTTACACTAAACTCAAAACCCTACTTTCTGCTACAGCAATTCTGCAACAGCTGCAAAGTTGCATGCCGTGGCAGCAGCTATTACTGGGTTTTCAGTAGCTCTGCTGACTTGTTTGTTTTGCATTTGAGAGTCTTTACAGCATGGCACAGCACATGAGATGCACCATAACCTCAGGACTGCAGTGAGTGAGTGACATCCCAGTCCATCAATCTTCTTACTGAGAACTCCTTCCCCTACTCTAAACTATTGTGATACAACTAACTTTCTTCCATGGCTTGTTCCCAATTCTATCCCCAGGTTTCAGTTCAAGGTGATGGGGACTATAGCTGTGAAGGAGCCTGAGATGAAAGCTGTTAATTTATGGAAACTAATAATTTTCTTTTTTACATAGAGAAGGAATAATCCTTATTGTGGACTATCAATATAAAGACAGAAGAGTCTTGATAAGCAGAGGGAGGCTACATCTCACTAGAACTCTGTGGTACATGACAGCTTACAGTTGGTAAGGGTAGGTCTTATTGAAGGCAGGGAAAAGATAAATACTAGGAGATTAAGTGAATGGAGAGATGTATGGAGACACTTGGTAAAGCTGTGTAGAGCCTCAGGAGAGATAGCAGACCTGAACATGTTCAAGTTTCTTGGCCCCAGACTTTTAGACACAATGGAGGAATAATGAATGGAAAGTTTTCAAAGGGAAGAGGCTTTCATAAAGTGGAGAGTAGGACAAGGGTACTGGTTAGTTTAAGGCTTATCTTACATCTCTATGTCAAAAGGTGGCTTCCGCTTGGCATAATTCTTCCTGGAGAGAAAAAAATCAGTATTCAAAAACAAAAACCAATTTAATGATACAGCTATTAGATCCAACGCCCAGCTGTGCTTACTGCATTAGGGGGCTACAGCAGAGAGATCTCAATTCCTGTTGAGATATACAACTTGTTCACCCTCTGTATAGCAGATTTGTTGCAGGTGGGCAGTAGCCCACTTAAGACTTGTTTTCTTAGTACAAAAATATTTCTAAAAGAAGCAAGGCCCATCTTTGGAGGCAAGTCAACAAATTACCAGAACATTTTGAGAGAGGGGACCTGATGCACCTTATTTTCTGTCTTTAATGGGTGCAGTTCTACTGCGCAAATTGTTTGGTACTGCATTTCAACAGGGCGATGGCTGAACTTCAGTAGTAGATAAAGTAATCCTTAGAGGTGCACCGATCTATCGATCCATATCGTATCGGCACTGATAAAAGGAAAGTCAACATCATCAGCAATCCAATCTGCTTTTTCTGGCTGATACTGTCGCTGATAAATGCCGCGTGCATGCACGCAGCTGCTGCATGCACACAGACAGGCATGCAGCCTGACAGTTTAGACAGCAGTGTCCGGCTGGTAAGTTTTTTTGGGGGGAGGGGTGTGGGGGAGACAAGGGGTGTGTGGAGGGGGATGCAGATCAAGGCCCCTGTGATGCAGGAGGGAGTGGAGCTGGGGCATGGGACACAGCTGGCAGCTCATCTGGGAGTCATGGGGGGCTGCTCCTACCACTGCACACCCCTGGGAGGGGTATGGGGGGCATGTGCGCCCTGTATCTGTGTGCAGGGTGAGGGCGTGCTGCCTGCTGTGTACTTGGGGGCAGCACCATTCTCTTCCCAACAGCTGTGCTTGGGGTGAGCAGCAGCAACACTGGGAGGAGGTCTATTCTACAGCGAATTTTGGGGTAGCTGCAGCTCCCCTATGGCCCCCCCCGTGCTGCCACCCCCCACCCCATCTCAAGGACAGCCACTGGGAAGAGGCTGGTGCCAGCCCCAAGTGCACAGCAGGCAGCCCACCCTCGCCCTACACACAGATTGGGGGGGGGGGCATGTCTCCCATGTCTCCCCTGGGGGTGCACACAGCAGCAGGGACCACTCCCCATGCCCCCTGGATGAGCCACCAGCTCCATCCTGCACCCTGCCCCACCCGGGCTGTGCAGTGCCTGTCCCAGCCCCATTCCCTCCCTCAATCTACACCTCTCCATACCCCTTACCCCTCAAAGACTCACCAGCTGGACACTGCTCTCCAAGCTGCCAGGGTCTATATCGGCAATAAGATTGGTATTGGCTGATATGGCCATTGGTATCAACCCAAAAAATCTTTATTGGTGCTCCCCTAGTAATCCTGCTGTACTTAGTGTTCTGGGATGAAGCCACTGCAGATGTAAAATAAGCAAGATGAGCAGCAAATAAAAGACAAGTTGTGCTCCATACAGACCTGTCAGTGAATGCGACTCACTGTTACATTTAGACTTAGGGATCATCAGCCATGCATTCCACTTACAAATATGGTTCATCTCCTTCATTATCCATCATTTCCTGTGCAGTTGGATAACAATTTCTGGGCCAAAAATGGTTGACTTACAGGTTGTTTTTTAAAAAAATAAAGTAAATGTGCTATTTTTGTCACACAGGATCAAATTCCAGGAATTTATTGCTACGTGTTTTCTGCATTGACTTATCTTACAATACTCACAAAGTGCCAACTTCTAGTTTAAAACTTTGTGCAACAGTTAACATTTCCTTTATTTCCTTCCAAATGCCATGTTACAGTGGGCTTGTACAGCAATGCAGCAGCAGTTACAAAACATTGAGTATTTTTCTTAGGAGCTTAAAATAAAGATCTGTATACAAGCTGAATAAAAAGATGCTCAGTTAACAGGTCATTCAGCAACTTTAATAAAACCTCTTTAGTTGGAAGTTCTGTAATGCTAAAATTTACAACTCAGACAGAAGTAAACACTTTCACCCCCATTGTAGTAATGAAGTTCTCATTCTTGCCAAGGATGAGAAATGCAGTTTATCAATGTCACACGTAAGATCTGCTTCATTTCTAAGAGAAGCAAAGTTGGAAATCATAAGCAAGGAGAGGCTTAGCAGACTAGAGCTGTCAGCCTGTATTAAAAACACCTCCAAGTTTGGCAGAGGAAGTCTGTTTACTACCTTTACTCTTAAGTACACGCACTCTTCCTCCCCTCCCACCAAGCACACAGTATAAATCCCATTTCCTTTCATTTATTATAGCCTCGGTATTATTTACAGGACTGCTACAGATAAAGTACAAACTAGTATGAAATTAATGACAGCTTGCATCTTCAAATATGCATCCGATGGCTAAATAAATACCAAGCCAATCCAACAGAATGACCAGGAGTTATGATTCAGAAGCATGTACATCTGTGACCCCAATTGTTTTCTCACTGATTGTAGTGGATTCATTTAATCTGTCAGCAGTAGTCACCTTAGAAGTAGGGGTAGTAGTATCTAAAGTGAAGAGAGAGGTTTGTTCTGTGCTTACAGTAGTGCCAGGGTCAACAGATATGCTCCCTGCTTGAGTGATGGAGGAAAGCAGATCTGTAGGTGGAGTAGATACATCTGTGATCAAAGGGAACTGTGGAAGTAATTCAGGTGGCACTGTTATCCCAGACAGATTGAGAGGAGGCATGGAAGAAAGGGGTGGCAAACCTAGAAATAAAAAGTAAACTATAGTCACACACCACTTTAAAACAAAAAGCTGAAGTTTTTCCTTGCCTATTCTCCTGTCTATTATGAGCTTGTTCTGCTCATGCTGCACTCTGTGGAAGCACAATCGAGATGTAGACTCAAAAGCCACTCAGAAGGCTAGTTTCAAAGCCTTAATTTAAATATATACTGAAAGTCAAAAAGTCTGTGAATAAAAGTGTTAATGTTAATGACAACAGACTCTGACGTAACCAGCCTATATATACATCAGAGTGCATTTTTTTAATGTATTTGTACTACTAACAAGACTTTTCCCCCACAAGTTGAAGCTGGCGGAAGCAAGAACTCAACAGAATCCTTATTCCTTAAGCTTCCAATTTTCTTGGTTACTGAAAATACATACTGAGCAAGCAGTTTTATCCAGGGCCATAAATATGGAGTTAGTCAGTACTTTTTGGCATTTAATCAGGTGGTTTCGATCTCCCTGTCTACTATACAGAAAATATGAACAGTGTCTTTCACTGTGCCCTCCCACATAACTATACACATGCCCCTAATTTTCATAACAAAGTATTTTTGAAGACCATAAATCAGAACAACAAAGAAAAAACCTAAATCCAGACACCTGAGACTAGGAAGATTAGATTGGAGTGGATTATCTTGGGACATTCTATTACAAAACAGAATAGCTTACTGCTGAACAATGGGGACACTACACCTATTCACCTCTAAGCTCAGTCAAAGACTCATCTCATCCTCTGCAAAACTATACCCATGAACATACAGGTTCCACATTATTACAAAACCAAGCATCTGGTTAGCTTTAAGCTGTACTCTTTCATAGATCTGCAAAAGTTTAATAGTTGTAATGTTGAAAGCTGTAGAGGCCTACCAGGCTGTATGATGTCTGACAATCCTGCGCCAGGAATTATGTGCGGTGCAGATAAATTAAGATTGGGCAGACTGGCTAAATTGGGAAGTCCAGCTGGTAATGGCATCAGACCTAAAATTCAAAAGGGACAGACAAATTAAAAAAGTCAAGAACGAGTGACAAATAATTTAAATATTCTTTCATAATTCCTTTAGTATGATTGTTATCTGCTATTCCATTTGTAAAGTGAAGCTCAAGTTTTTGACTCCTGTTGAAAGGTGCTTACCCAAAATACCCCTTATCCCATTTCTATTTTACCCCGAAGAAAACATTTTGTATTCAAAGGCTTAATTCCCAGAAGAAAAAAAAAAGAGCTGAACTACACAGCTATGGATCAATGTTGTGTCTCTAGTGGGTTATGGAATAGAGAAAATCCCACACAATTTACTGATTCGTTTTGATGCACTGGCTGGGGGTGTAGTTAGCTGACTGCACGATTTCACAATGATTACACACTTAATTTATACAACACAATTTTATTTTAAAATTCTTTGCTACGTATATAACACTGCTTAGCTTTAAGAAACACCACAAACATTAAGAGCACAATAATTACATATATCAGAAACAATGCTCCGAATGCACTTCCTTCCCAAACAATGCTATAAGAATTAGTATTACAAAAACAACTACAATTACAACTAAAAGTTAAATTTGAATCAATGCTATTATTTTTCATATTATACTTACAATCCTAGAATTCCGAGAAGCCAAATACCTAAATATGGTTTCATTCCTCAGTAGTACAATTTAATGGGTTGGCCTCAGTAGTACGGTTCAATGGGCTCGCCTCAGCAATACGATTCAATGAGCTGGGCTCAGCAGTGATAGGACTAAGTCCCCTTCTTTCAGTCCCTTTCGGGCGCTCTGCAGCTTCAGCGTGAACTAAGAGATTCGTGTTCACGGAGAGGTTGGTTCAGGTGATCAATCTGATCCGGCTTACACTTGCAATTCTTCCTTCGTTGTTCTACAAGTGAAGTCACCTCCAAATTGGGACAGTAAGTTACAGTTTTTAGTGAGTGAGCTGTCGTCTTGGGCCGCTCCTACTCAAGCCTGTCATTACTCCCAAATTTGGGCTCGGATCTTACTCAACAGATTCTTTTGCTTAATAATTAGTTTCTTTTGTTGAGCATTTTAAATTACTTTTGGGAAACTTCCATATCACTGCAAGTGACCTTTTTTTACCAATCTGGTCAAAAGGCTCTAGGGTTTGATCTCTCGGAACTCAGGATATTTGCTCTCTTTGTAAAAGACTTCTAAAGATAACATTCAAATTAAGACTTTAAACAAAGTCAGGACCTTTTGCACGTAGTCCAAAAACAATGACTTAGATAAGGAGATAAATCTTATCTTCTTCCTGAAACTGGCTAATGGGCAATCATTACAAACATTCAAACTATTTCATTCAATATGACATGTTGCACTTTTGTGCTCTCACAACATTATCTGGGCAAGCTAATTTGAAAAGTAGCACAAATTTATTAAATATAATTAACACAATTGCAGGTGCTGCCATTTGCTTTAAAAACAAAAAACAGAAAAGGCTGCAGTCAAATATACATGATATTCAGAAATTAGAGAAAACTTTAAAATAATTTTCAGAGTCAAGGGCTATACATGCGGTATAACTATGGCATTAGCATGGCATATTTATTACCACGCTGTTCTGTAATTTAAGCCCTGTCTTCCATCTCTCATTTTCTTCCCAAAGAGTGAAGGGTGTTTTGGACAAGATCCATACTCCCATGCTTGCAATGTATTTCTCTCAATGAGGCCTAGTACTGAAATAAGTTACTGTTGTAGCAACAAAAACTTATTTGGGTCTTTCCTTCCACTGTTCCTATTAAACAGATGTTTTTAATAAAAAAATAGAAATAAAAAGTACTAGTCTCATAAATAAGTAATTAAGCAATTAAAAAGGGATAGACTCTCTCCAATTTACAAGGACAGTTTTCTTTTCAACTACAAGCTAAGATTAGTGTGACTTTTTACATAGGACACATAACAGTAAATAGCTTTTCTAGGGGGGGGTTGTTTTGTTTTGTTGTTTGTTTGGGTTTTTTTTAACAGTTTCACTAGTACAAGCATTTATATAGAAGTAGTTCTTTTGTTTTCAAAACCACACTTACACTGTTTTAGGAGCACAAGTTGACAGGGTAATTAATGTTCATACTCTTTTATTTAATAAAAACTACACTTTTTAGTGGTTTAACATTTTAACTTTGTGGTACAGGTATTTAGGATTTGTGACATTCTACACAAGCACTTAGCTATTACACTCTTCTCCTATATTGGGATACTTTGCCTTTAGTTACTTTTTTTAGCTACAATAATTCTTCAAGATTTACATGTCAGATTTATTAGCAGGTAAAAATAAATTATAACGTCTCTTATATTCCAGGATTCATAACTGCATCTTATACCAAAAGTGGGACAGAATTTACCACAAGTCACACATTGTTTATCAAACCTGTCAAAACATTATTTCAGAATACAAAGACTCAAGTGGTTCATTAACCTGAGGAAATAAAAACATATTAATACTGCAGGATGTGTAAAAAAAAAAAAAAAAAAAAAATCACTGTTAAATTAATACATTGTGGAAATAGAGCTGGTCTGCCACTAAGTATAGAAATTCCAAAATGTTAAATATAATGAAATCAAAACTACACATTTTATGGCAGATAGCTTAAGAGATAGCTTAACTGATGTAGAACAAGGGACTGTGGGGTTCTTTTGCATCGAATCATGCTAAAATGACTAACAAATCAACTGCTAAACTATTCCCTTAACCATACACAGAATTTTATTATAACGAATAAGCTAATTCAGTGCAAGTATACAGTACGCAGTAAAAGCTTTGTTATCCAGCATCCCCCGGGAATGGGGGATGCTGGATAACAAAATATGTCGGTTAATTGAGCGGCCCCAGCCGCCGTTTCTGGGGCATCCCTCCACCCCTCTTGTGGCATCGCTGTCTCTCCCACGGGGCCCACCTGTGGGACAGGGAGGTGGGCCCCGCACAGCCTGTTATGCCCCCGGGCCATGGGGGCTCAGCAGCTCAGGCTGCTTTGCTCCCAGCCATGGGGGCTCGGATAAATGGGAAGTGCCATGGCGGGCACTTCCAGTTTCACTTTATCTTACAAACGGCATCCCGGTTAGTGGAGCATGCCGGCTTGTAAGATGTTGAATAACAACTTTTACTGTATATGTATTCATGTGTAGGCTAAGGACACACAGCATGCTGCAACACATGAGATTACAAGATGATCAAACACATGACATGAGTCAGCATGGATCATAGAAAGAACACTTCCAAGTTCACCCCATACCTTTGTCTCTTTTGAAGCCAGAAAGCTTTCCTGTGTTATGCGGTTGGCTATCACATATAGCAATATTTGTAATAAATTCTGCTAACAGCACAGGTGTCAGCCCCAGATCCATCAGTAGTTCAGGGGTAGCACCTTAGATGCTCTCCATCATTTTAGTTGCCCTCTAAACACCAAGGGGAGAGTGGCTTCTCAGCCTGTCTTGCATGTACCAGTCCTACCCCTAACTTCAAGAGATGACCAAAAAAATGAAAGCTCTGACTTGGCATGAAGAAACACTTGAAGTTCAAGCATTAAGTAGCAGCTAAAGAACACAATTTTTAAAACCTGAAAGGCGCAAATACCAAGAAGGAAGACAATTCAGTTGTTACATGTGGGTATATAATGAAGAATGCAGGTAAAGTTAGGAAAAAATGACAACAGGGTATCAGGAAAGGGTTCTGACAGTAAGGACTTTCTAGGCTGTGAAAATCCCATTGCTTGAGGAATGTATGGACTACATCAGATGATATGTTAATTGATATGTTAGTAGGGAATAATTTTTCATTGGCCATCCATATATATCCCTGCATGTGTGCATATATTTATCTATCTGGATAAACCATGCTTACTGCCCACATATGCGCCTTAAAGCGGATAGAACACATCATGACAAAGCATGACTAAACATTTTATTTTCTTATTAATTGGGCCAGAAGAGACAAACCTCCCTTTCCTTCCCAACATTTTATACTACATAAGGTTATTTGATATGTTTAATGTCATTACCTGGTAATGATGTCGCTGGATTAACTGATGGCACTGAAGGGATGGACTGACTGACTTGTGGTGACAGTAATGGTACTGTTGGGACACCTAGTGAAATATAGAAATTATATACCATCATTTTTATTATACCATTTCTATGTATGCACCATTTCATCCCATGTCTCAAAGGACAGCTAACAGGAGAATCTGTGGGTTTTTTTTAAACAAAGATTCATAACATTTTCTTCTTCACCTTTTATTCTACATCAGTTTGTGCCACTTTTGTAAGATATGTGATACAAGCAACTTTGAACCCAGGATGTCAGCCAATTTGGAGCCCCTTGTTGTCAGGCAAAAAAAACAACATTTCCCCAGAGGACTCTGATGTTAAATGCATTTGGCCCTGGTTACTAGAAAAGAATTGTGGGGGAGAACAAAGGGAAGATATCTACAAATCATGTGACATTTCTATGAACAGCTTTTTTCTTTAGGAAATTAACTGAGAAATCCATATTTCTGAATGACAGAAAATCAACAAAGTATTAATGCACTTCAGTAGGGAACTATTTTTATACATACCTGTATTGAGTACAGTGCTGATGGTGGTAGGAGTTGAACTAATGGATAGTCCTGACAGACTCTGTTCAAGTCCTACTGTTCCAGGTGGTATTGTCGGTGGAGGATTAACTGAAGATAACTGAACCTTATCAAAACAGACAAGTCTTAGTGCTTGTATTTTTGTTTTCACTGTAATCTATGATGAAAGTATAAATGTTGCTCTACTTCAGTAACCACTTAATCAAGCCACAGAAATCATTAAAACTTACCTCTGTAAAACCATCTTTAAGTGGGCTGATAGGTGCACTTGGCAGCTGTCCTGGAAGAGAAATTTTCTTTCCCTCTTCAAAAGGACGTGTAGGTATCCGATGTAAATACCCATAGCCAATGCCACAGCCTAGGCTTTTAAAATATGAACATTTAAAAATTAGACTGACAAACCAGTCTGAACTTAAGCCATATTATCACTGTGGACCCCACAACAACCAATTTAACAATGATCTTGCCTCAGTGGAAAGGAACCACTTCTTTCACTCCTAAAAACACAAGTCTCATACTATAAAACATATTTAGAGTCAAGTGAAAAATAAAGCTTTTTGTACTTAAGTTAACTAGACAGAAGTAGCACCCATGCATGTCACTTGCAGCCATCTCTTATTTACTAGACTCATCTTTAACAGTGCATTACAGCATAACTACAATTTCAAAATTGCTCAGAAGTAAGACTACATGTTCTCTTCACCTTTAATGAATTGATTTTTGCGTTTAGCTGCAAAAAACCCAAAACAAACAAAAAAACTCCACAGGCCACAACTAAAACGGACCTTAAAATTATCAGCATATAATTTTCCTTATTAGCAGCAATACTTGAGCCAATAACTCTCATTATGATTGTACAAAACCAAACCTAATAGATCCCTATTTATAACTGAGGTAAGTACTGCTGTAAACATTATGATCTTCTGTTACATTAAATAATCTTACCTGCCTTCCCCACCCCAGGAAGAATTTGGAGTAATCACCACCTCCCGACAATTATCTGTATCTGTGTTGTACACATAAAGTTTTAACGGTTTTGCTTCATGCGTTTCGATAAGGGAGAAGAGATCTTCAGACTGCAATGAAAACACAGGAATATTTCAAATTGGGGGTGGGGGGGTGGCTGTATTGTAATTTTAGTATACCTAAAATCATGGAGACTGGCATCTTATTGGCCCCAATCCTGCAGAGCACAGGTGCCAAACATATGGCTCATGTGCTGGATCCAGCCCACAAAGCCCCACCATCCAGTCCCCAGTGCTGCCCCTGGGTCTGATCAGACCCAGGAGGCACAGCACATGACCCTGGCTTAAAACTGATTCACAGGCTGAATGAGAGCGATGGACCCCCTTCACCTACTCCTCCCCAGCATACCTGATCCAGAGGCTTCTGCTCTGGCCAGACTGCACTGTGGCGCCCACTCCAGCCACTCCAGGATACACACCCCATACAGCCCAGGTTCCAAACCAGCCAGAGTGGCTGCCAGATCAGGTATAAATATATTTGGGGAAGGGGGAGGGCCCTGGACCTGATCAAGTCTGTGTACCAACCCCATTACACTCATCCAACCCGCAGGGTCACATGAGTTTGACAATCCTGCTGCAGAGCATGGCATTTAGGAGACATTTAGTGCAACCCTGAAACTTTATCACATACAGCAAAGTTCAATATGCAGTATTGTTTTGTTATCTGCATCCTCAGACTCAAAGATAAGTTAGCTTCTACATCTGGTAAGACACTCCAAACTACATATTAAAATTAACTACAAAAAATAAGTGCGCAGATTTGACTTTTAATACTGGTTATTAATAAAGCTTCCCAAGTAATTGTATACTAATCCCATTTGACTGTATGAGGGAACTTTATGTAGTGCTCTGAACACCAGCTGTGTGTGTACTCTAAAAGGGCAGGCACTCAGTGTCAGAGCTCCTCTCCCCATGTGGCAGTTTACTGTTAGCATCGGACAAAAGGAAATACGAGGGTTAAGAGAACATTGAGGCCATTCTAATATTTCGGTCATAGGCACTGACCTTTATTTCTGCCGGAGGAGGGGGAAGGGAGCCAAGATGATGCCCCCCCTTCCACCAGCATGGCTACAACAGATCTAAGCGGAGCCTATAAGGGGGTGGGGGTGGATGCAGGCTGCCCGCTGTGGGCTTGGGCCTCCCTGCCCTGAAGCCCTCTCCTCGGGGGCCCCACGCCAGCCATGCCACCATCGCAGTGCGCCCCCTGCCTGGCTGGCAGGAGCACAGGGCACAACTCTGCACTGCCAAACCACTGCTGCTGAGGGGGAAGGGGGCGCCTCACCAAAGTGGCATGGGTGGCGTGAGGCTCCCAAGGGAAGGAAAGCAGGCTGGGGAGCCCAGAGCCTGCCGCAGATAGCCCGCATCCACCCTGTCCCATGCACAAATCTGAAGGGCATGTGCCCCACCGTCCCCCTCTCTGGGAGTGCAGAGTGGCAGGGAGCTGGCTACCCTCCTCCCTGCCACCTATGGACAAGCTTCCTGTGGCTGTCCTGCTCCCCACCCTAGCCCCGGGCCCCATGCACCGCCCCACCTGGGCAATGTCCCCAGGCCAAGCCCCTGCCTCACTCCCTCCCTCAACTTCTGATCCCTCCTCCTCCCCACCCCTGCAACTTATCTGGAGGCAGCCAGAGGAGCTGCTCTTCACTGCTGCCTGGGGCTGAATTCCCAGCCACATACATGTGGGTACGTGCAAATGTACACGTGGCACCCCCTGCATCCCACAGCCCCTTGCAGGTTAGAACTGCCAGCCTGCAAGGGGAAATCAGTTGTTTCCTGCATTTTTCCACGGTGAATGGAAAAAGTCCCTGCACAATATTGTGAATCTGGGACAAATGCAGCCCCAGAATCATACAGCTCAGAACTGGGACTTGATGTTCCCATTTTGGAATTGTCCCACCCAATTATGAAAGGGTGGGACTTTTCCCAAGGAGGGCCCCCATGTACTCTATGCCTATGATTTAAGTAAATGTAATTCAAAGTTTATGTATAAATACCTCATTCATGACTGTGTCTGCTCCAATGATATAGTCACTATGGGGCCGAAGACCAGCTAGAGCAGCAGGAGAATTTGGTTCTACTTCCTAGTTTCAAGATATGAAGTCACAAAGTTAAATATTTTCATTGTTTTAGAAAAAAGTTACACACACACAAACACACAGCTTTGGGCTGAAGGAATCAAGGTGCCTGGTAAATGGACTGGATTTAAAAAACACAAAACGGGAGTTTAATTAGACATTTTCTATGTTATTTCCATCCTATTAAGATACCACAAAATATTCAAAATTCTATTGCAATAGGATGCACAGAAATGCAAGATACGATAATATTCCCCAAATACACATTTTCACTGAAACAGAATCACCCAACACACAAACACTTTGTTCCCAAGAGAGTGAATGCTTGTTAGTTTCAACTAAAAATGTTTTTTAAGCAATACATTTTTGCAGTCAGAGAAATCTTTGAGATACTTTACATACCAACACATGCCATACGTTTTCATTGGCTCCATCAAAGCTGCAGAAACGAATGCTCACTCCCAGAAGGCCCTGTCCACCCCACATGTTACTCGGAGTTACTGATGTTTCTCTCAGTTCCAGTGTCTTGCTACTGTACACCAGCATTTTTACAGGCTTTTCAACATTTGCTTTCAACAGGTCCTTAAGCGTGTCATTGTCTTTATTCTGGAAATATACATAAAACAAACCTTTGGGCTTAGTGCTTAACAGCAACAAATGGTCAATTCTGTAATGCTAGGTTCACATTTCCAAGACCTATAGAAAATACATAGCAAAGATTCAAAATATTTATTTCACTGCAGCTGCTATAATTTTATAAACTTCCTATTCCTCTAAGTTTCCTATGAAGTGAAATTTTAGAATTTCTGTACTCACAGTAATATTTATTTGGCCTTTTAAATGTGCACAAATGCAAAAAAAGATAAGCAATCCAAGTTAAATCTTTGTGCTTTGATACTGTAGTAATTAGGCTTGCTAAGCAATGGTATCTTCTTACTTAGTACTTCTGCTTAGGTTGCGGGTTAAAACATCAATTGCAGGGTTACTCTATTTAATGGAAAATCAGGAGTGTTTATTTACTCCAACAGTGCAAAGTAACAACTCCTTCTAAACTTGTGAGTAAATAAGCATTTAAAAATACTTTCAAAGTAAAATAATATTCCTATAGCAAAGAATCCACTAACTTGCATTATTTGCTTGTTCAAAAGCCATATTAGAGCCACAAATCTGGCCCCAATTTAAATTTGCAAATGAAAGCTTCCTTTTTGAAATAGTAAAAAAAAAATAAAAAAAAATCATAAGAACCAAAACCAACATGATTTAAACTACAATTGTTAAACTTAAGTTTTCTGGCGAAACTAATTACATGGTTGACAATAGGGGCTGAAAATGGAAAATAAGTAGTCAAAACCTAGACTTTCTAGTTGTAAAGAGCTAATCAAAATCTGTACAAAAACTATTTCAGGATCCTAACTATAGGCTATAAAACATTTGCACTTCACTTTAACAGGCAACTATTTCAAAAAATGAACCTTGTGATTCTGACAGCTGTCATAATGGTGCTTCAAGTTTACTCTAGCTTCAGGTGCTAATTCTTTGAAGGAACTGGACCAGTGTTTAGTGCAATGGCACTAAGTACAGACAGTCAAGAAGCCCAACACTGAATTGATTCAGTCTTCACAGGTTAGTCTAAACTGCATAGACTGAACCAATAAGCAAGCAAACAGACATTCAGTGAAATGCAGCCACATGCTTGCAGTGGCTTAGGCCAGAAGCTGGGGGGCATTAGAGCATACTCAGCTAGAGCAAACAGCCTGGGAGAGAGCTAGCCTGCCCACCCCAGGAAGGGGACTTTCCTGGGTGAGGTGCAAAGCAACCTGGGATGTTGGGAAACTATAGGTTAACTTGCACCTGGAGGGAATCTGGGACAGAAGTTGAATAAGCCAGTTTAACTTAAATCAGTTAAGTCTGATACTACATCCATCCAGGTTTATCTTAAACCGGCTTCAGTCATTTTGAAAGTGGTTTATGTGCACTGAACTTACGTTGCGTTACAGATTTGAACCAGTTTCCAATCACTTATATCGATTTATGTGTAATTTCTGTCCCTAGCCTTAGGGCCTCACTTTGATCATGGGAGCCCTGAAGTACTTCTGAATTTTTAAATCTCTGCTGACAAGTCTGCATAAATGCAGTTTCACTATTTTACATTACAGATAACGGAAGACAAAATAGGCATAGAAGAGCCACATTGTCTTTCGGAAACATTTCTCTGCAGTCACCTGCTACACATCAGGATCAAAGAGGAACATGTGTGTACTTCCAGCTGGGCTGGCAGCAGGATCAAAGCAGCATTAAAAAGTACACTTCAGTGGCTCTAGAATGAACATGACCTTTTCAATGACAAGCTCCATTTGCCCTGCTTGTCCCACAGGACCCATTATCTTTTCTGGGAAAGAAATGTGTGCTTGAATGGGAGGCACGAAGACCAAACCACAGATCTGTAGAAAATGTGCCTAGGCAACACCCAAGCATTCCTACTTTCCTGCTAGCTCAGCTTGCTCTGGCAGCAGAAATTTCATGTTTGAAAAATCTAAAGGGGTTTGACCATGCTCTTCCTCCTTCATCCATACTGCTAACACTTCCAGTGCCATAGCAACACTAAGATAGGTTACTGGGCTTCCTTATCATCCTTTAGAAGATTAGGGCCTCAGTCAGGGAAAGGAAACAAGCATTCAGCCTAGTGTCCTATTATTCTCCAGTTTAAATTTTGCTGAAAGTTAAGCTACTGGGGTGATGGCAAGGTAAACAACTCAAAACCGGTTTCTAGGTTTGCCAAGGTACAGAAACTATCAATGAATGATTTAAATAAAAAGTTGACTCAGTTTAGCAACAATAATACATTCCTGCCATAAAATCTATTGCTTATATGTAAATAAGTTTTCATAATACAGCAAGCTTACCAATCTTGAACCATTAATGGAAACAATAAAATCAAAGAATGGCTCCAGTCCAGCTCTATGCCCTGGTGAGTTTTCTTGTACCTATCAAGAGACAGAATATAATACATGAATTTAGCAGAAATGTCACAATTCTGTAGGTATCCTAGTTTGTATTTTACAACTATTAATCTCTTCTCTTGCAAACCATATAGTTTTAGACACAACTGATACACAGAATCATAGAAGATTAAGGTTGGTAGGAACCTCAGGAGGTCATCTAGTCCGACCTCCTGCTTAAAACAGGACCATCCCTAACTATATCATTCCAGCCAGGGCTTTGTTGAGCTGCGCCTTAAAAACCTCCAAGGATGCAGATTCCACCACCTCCCTAGGTAACCTGTTCCAGTGCTTCATCGCCCTTGTAGTGAGAAATAGGTTATTTTTCTAATATCCAATCTAAACCTCCCTTGCTGCAGCTTGAGACCACTGCTCCTTGTTCTGTCATCTATCACTACTAAGAACAGTCCAGCTCCATTCTCTTTGCAACCACCCTTCAGGTAGTTAAAGGCTGCTACCAAATCCCCCCCCACCCCGGTCTTCTCAGCTAGGGACAGATATTACATATAAACCGGTTTAAGTGATCAGAAACTGGTTTAAATCTGTAATAGAACAGATACTGTGCACATAAACCAGTTTGAAAACGGCTGAAACTGGTTAGAGATACTGCATTCAACCAGGTTTATCAGACTTAACTGATTTGGTTCAAACCAGTTTATGCAATGTCTGCCCCAGACCCCTTGCTGATTTAAGATAAACCAGACACCCCAGCATGCTCTCTGGACTGGGCAGGGTGCAGGGCTGGCCACTCCCCTCTGCTCGGCACAGACTTCCAGGAACAGAGTGTCTGCCTGGCTTCTCCTTGCTAAGCAGGGATTATTCCCCCCTCCCCTCTGCCTTGCGCAGACACCTCAGCATTAGGTAGCAGACCACACACTGGCTACAGTCCCTGCTGTGGGAGAGGACAGAGGAAGACAGGCTTTTTGGAGCTAATCAACAGGTAGCTTAATGTCCTTCCTTGGAAGAGCTGTTTAAAAAGAACTCCACTAGTTAATGGAGAAAGGCTTTGTTTTCTCAATGAGTTGATAAACACCCAGTTAGGGGTGATAAACATTCCCTGTTGGGCAGCTGGAAGGGCAGGGAAGAAATAATCAGTGCATCCTGCCCAGGGCCTGGCCACACCCCCCTCAGCTCTGTCCTGTGGAAGCAAATGGAGGGCTGCTCTAGCATCCCCCAGCTTCTAGCCTGAGCCACTGCAGGCGTGTGCCCACATGTCTGGGATGTCTGTCTGGGTTACAAACTGATTTAGCCTAGCCAGGTTAGACTAACCTGCAAAGATTGAATCAACTCAGGCTTTTTGAATGTCTTTCCCTCTAAACTAAATAAGCCCAGTTCCCTCAGCCTCTCCTCATAAGTCATGTCCCAGCCCCCTAACCATTTTTGCTGCCCTCTGCTGGACTCTCTCCAACTTGTCTACATCCTTACTATAGTGGGGGGCCCAAAACTGGACCCACTACTCCAGATGTGGAGATGTGACCTTACCAGCCCAGAACAGAGGGGAATAATCACTTCCCTCAATCTGCTGGCAATCCTCCTATCAATGAAGATGCATACACAGATTTTTACAAATTTCTTACAACACAAACAAATGAACTGCTGTAAAAAAAGCCTGCTGGTAAAAAATCTATTTTAACAAAATGCATCACTAATCTATTGATAAACCAAACAATATTAGCTGCTATTTCCAACGGAAATTGAGTTTAATACGTCCTTTGTTGCAGAAAATAAAACTGTAGATATCTAGCTCTAGTTAATTGGTAGAACTGAATTTAAAGAATTATTCCATCCTGCTTTTTACCAGTCTTCCCAGAAACATTAATGGCATTGGACTATGCTTCTTCTACCGACTCAAAGTCGAAACTACATCCTAAAATACTGGTGTAAACACTATCCCCTTGCAACCAAATTTCATAGACATTAGGGCCAGAAGGGACTAAATAAGCTACACCTGCCATTTTTGAGAAGATTAAGTATCTGAACAAATTCTGGTTAGAAACTCCAATCACAGACAAATATCTCTGTATTTACATTACCACAGGTATAGCCATTCTAGACAACGACAACTCCAATAAATGTGTCAAGTTTTTCCTCCAGCTGTTACAATAAATAATGTCTGTCTTCCTTTGTAACATGATTCATTTTACCCAGTGGCTTTATTCCTTACACTCCATATTCATCTTGCAAAGGACTTGGAACAGTTTAATATTTTTCAGAGGAGGATTTCCTACTATGCATTTTTGCATCCTGACAGAATAGCTGCTTTTGAGCACTGCATAACTGCTTTACCTGGCAGAATCTAGTTTACCTAATACGGACTGCCTGAAGTAAAATGTTCTACTATGGAAAAAACCTAAGGCTCAATTATCTGTATCACTATCCTCTTATCCAAATATTCCCAGCCAGACACGCACACAAAACCAGAACTTGAAAAAAAAAAAGCCATTTGTAAATGGTGATTGGGCAGATTTTCCCGGGCAAGTGATGGAGGCCAAAAATATTAGTTTATATATCACTTTTTAGTGAAAGCCTACATATTCAGAACTTATGATTCCAGACAGACTCTATTAAGGTCTGGAATCATTAAAAATGATTCTCCCCCAGGGTGATAGCATATCATTTGAAGGGTGCCTGGAAATGTGACGAGATAAGCAGAGGGGCACACAAGCTTGTCCTTGACTGGTGGATCCTCTACTTTGCTGCCCTGCCTCTCTGTAAAGAGGTAAACACTGCAATATATAAATTAGTTTTTGAAATTAGGTACCTCAATTCACAAAAGTTATGAAGAGTTGATGTGAGCCCAAAAAGTTTGAGGATTACTGGTTTAGAAGGTTAACTTTTTACTGTGATTGCTTCACAGCTTTGTTAAGCAGCATCAGCATTAAATGAATGAAACTGGGCCAATTTTAGTGCAACAATTCAGAGCCATCTGAATTTCCTGTCTAAAACTGGAGTCTGAGAAGACTATCCACATATCTATACAACAGGGAATACTATAGTATCCTCTCCAAACTTTCATTTCTAGGTAAAAGGACTGGTTCCTGCAGGTACTGTACTGAACAGTCACAGGGTTTTCAATAATTAGCTTATCCAAAGTATAATTTGCATTTGTATTTGAAAGCCGATTCTTAAAAGGTGAGTCTGCCTCCCTAGAAATCTGCTGGACTTGGGTAGTTCCTCATTTAATGACTGGTGCAAAAATATCTTAACAGACTCTGTGAAGGTCTAGAAAACCCTGGACGCATCTACACATTCATTAATGCACCATACTTACAGTACATTTAGTACCTTCACATTCAGTTAGTACCTGTTAGTAATAACAGGTACTAACTGAATGTGCCATAATCTGTGTACTGCATATTAGTGCAGATAAACAGTTTTTAAGTGACTCAGTCTACTGCACGTTAGCATGGTTTTTGCCAGCTGTGTTAATGAGCAGTAGAATTAATCTACTGTGCATTAAGCTTTTCGTGTAGAATGAGCCCCCAGAGTTATACAAAGTGAAGTTTCTTTGAAATTTAATTCTTCAGGGAATTCAGTAAAAAAGAACAATAAGCAGAGGATGCATCTACACAAGATGCTACAGTGCTGTAGTGACGCGCTATGGTGCTGTAGTGTCCATTGGCAAAAACCAGGACTCCAGTGCTACATCACTGTAGCAATGCACTCCCTCATTATTGTGTGTTGCTACAGCAACGTAGCAGCCAAAAATAACCGTGCGTGGCTAGTACGGCGCAGTACAGGCTGTTAGTACTTCCAAAAGGTACTAAATGACAGCACAGTAACAAAGGTGCCATATGGCCACACATAGACATACCCAGAGTGAATGAAAAAATACAGCACTCTGAAGTTAGTGTCCAACGGAGAAATGCCATTATGTTCAATTAGACTTAACCAGTTCTGAATGAATACAGTAATTTTCAGATTGCCAGTAAATATTTTTGTACATGTCTACACTGCAGGATTACCCTGGGAATTTACATAGGTTTAGTTTAAAGCCCCTACTGTTCTCTTCATGGTTTTATGTACGTGACCCTGGACTGCTCATCTTCCTGGAGGTATGACTTAGCATGCTCAACCCACAGCCAGCTGATGAGGTAGCAATCAAGCACATGGGAGCACAGTGGAAACTTAAAATGTGCCTACTGCAATGCAAAGAATGGTTACCACAAGGTCAGCAATTATCTGCCACTAATACCACTTTTTCATAGTTGGTAGGGTCGGAAGGGACCTGAGCAGATCATCAAGTCCGACCCCCTGCCATGGCAGGAAAGAGTACTGGGGTCAAACGACCTCAGCAAGGTGTTCATCCAGCCTCCTTTTAAAGACCCCCAGGGTAGGAGCCAGCACCACTTCTCTTGGAAGTTGGTTCCAGATC